TGTTGTTTCTGGTGGTGTTGTTGTTTCTGGTGGTGTTGTTGTTATCACTGTTGTCGTTTTCTGCGACGTTGCCATTTAGCTCTGAAATTGACTAATGTTATTCCAGAGTAATCGCCAGTGCTCATGGTTTTTTTAAATTAATACCACCCGCCGTTTTGTTTAATATCTATTGACATAAATCCCACACAGCATTTAGAAAAATTAAATAATAAAAGAGATCGTCTTTCATCCCAGCAGACCCCGCTTCGAAATTCAAGGGAAGCCACTGGAATATGTACAGTGCCTAGTTGTAGAGGCAGTTGTGTTCCCTGAATCTGGCTACGTATGTGTGTGTCTGTATGTGTGTGTGTGTGTGTGTGTGTGTGTGTGTGTGTGTGTGTGTGTGTGTGTGTGTCTGTGAGTGTGCCAGTGAGGGTGTGTGTGGGGAAGGGGCTTATGTGAGTTTATATAATACATATATGCGCCTTGCGAGTAGTTGCGTACGCCTCTGATGCCATTGTTTGTTTAAAACTGAGCTTGTCTGTTGTTTCCCAAAGATGAAGAAGTACAGTACACGAACGACATACTGGCTATGCTGTCGCCTGAAGGGGAGAGAATTGATCTAGGAAAGGTGAGTAAAAGCTTTGCCTTTAGAATCTTGCCACGACATCTCTACCCAAATTAAAAGTCAATTCGTAATAACGTTTTTCCGAAAGATGTCTCACGGATAGTACTTAAGTCTGTTTTACACATTAAACGTCATTTTTAGATATTTACATTTATTCTAAAAACCTATTGACTGACAGTGACCTATATCTAGTTACACTTATCGAAGTTGGAATTTTTTAAAAGCAGTTATAATATGACCTAATAGCCAAGAACTACAACGCTTTTTAATTGCCATTTGTTTATTTACGTATCCGTGTTTTCATTGGCTGAGTAGTTGGCGAGTGCTCTGATGTGGTTTGCTACTTGTTTGCTTTCAAACACCTATCTTGACTATCTCCCTTTTTTCTTTTCTTTTTTTTTTTTTTTTCTTTTTTTTTGCATGTTACTCTCTCGTAACACCTCTAATCTTCGGCGCTCATATGACCTTAGTGTGTAGCAAGTGCCTTAATGTATTCCTCAACCCCAGGGTCTCAAAGCCCGCAGGAACGAGGGGGACTTTGGTACTTCTATGACCTAATTGTGTTACAATGAGTTTTAATACTCTTTTAATACTAAACTAAACTTTTCTTAATGCCGTCTTCGCATGTGTAACTGCAGGGCTTCAAAGCCCGTGGGAACGTGGAGGATGGTTGGTACTTATATGATCTAATTTTGTTACAGTGCGTTTTAATACTCTTACTAAAACTACAATGAGCTGTCCTTAATGTCGTCTCCACATGTGTAACTCCAGGGCCTCAAAGCCCGCGGGAACGTGGAGGACTGGCTGGGCAAGGTGGAGGAGGCCATGTTTGGCAGTCTGCGGAGACTGTGCAAGAAGGCCATCAAAGACTTTCAGGACATGAAACTTGTTCAGTGGATTCTGGCAAACGCGTCACAGGTGAAACTTACAAAGTTTAGAGATTAAGTGTTTTTGCTTGGGGGGGGGGGGAGATGTTTTGTTTCGTTTTGGTTTGGTTTG